AAGTATACACAGAAGTATACACAGAAGTATACACAGAAGTATACACAAAATACTGATTCTCACTTTCACAAATTTAGATCAATGTCTAGCTATTTTACTCCCCTTAAATTAGTCAATTTAACCATCATCTAAAGCCAGATCCAAACATTAACTTCCACAGGAACTTACAATTAGATCGGAATCACGTCCCATGGAGATGACTGTTCTGTTTACAGTTCTCAGTAGCTTCTCCATAATGAGCTGGACATGTCGCTGAGTTGGTCCCTAGGATAGAAATCAATCAATGGAGGCTGTTACTAACAACAATGAATATCATTGAAATCCATTTACATTGTGAAAAACATCGATTATAATTACATTTCAAGGTCAAGATAACAGAATTAACATAAGAGGTTAAGAGGTGACCTTATAAAGGCTTACAAAATAATGAAAGGTATAGATAGAGTTAATGATAGTTATCTTTTCCCTGAGTTGGGGAATTTCAAGACTAGGGCAAGTATTTTTAAGGTGAGAGGAGTGAGATTTAAAAAAGACATGAGAATTTTTGTTTTACACAGAGGGTGGTATGCATGTGAAATGAACTTCCTGGTGAAGTGGTGGATTTGGGTACAATTACAATGTTTAAAAATATATAAATAGGAAAGATTTGGACGGATATGGGCCAGGATAAGACAAGTAGGACTGGTTTTGTTTGGGATCATGTTTGGCATGGTCTGGTTGGACTGAAGGGTCTGTTTCCATGCTGTATGACTCTTATAATAGTTACCACTAAAGAAATAAATATTACTGTCCAACTTTCACTTTTACAGTCAACAAAGAAATTAGTCATGCCAACAGTGATGCTAAATATGCAATATGTGGACCTTTTGGAAGTTTTCTGAAAGTACAATGGAAATACCCAGAAATGGTGAAATATTAACTCAAATTGGGCATATTCATTTGTCCACAGGAACTAAATCCAAATAAACAGGTGTTTTCCCAGACCTCACCAAGCACAAAGCCTTAAGTAGTCACTGGTAGGTAGTCTGGTCTGCATCATTTTCCATTCTTTACATCTGAAATGGAAAACTCCACAGAAGGTGAGGTAATAACGTACCAAAGTTGTTTCTAGATGTTAAGATTACCGGGCATTTGGATGATCTGCATCAATCTATGCATTAATTCACCCTTCAGATGTATCAAAAATTATACTTTTATAGCCTTAAGGTTACAAGATGCTTCATGAAGGCAAAATCAAAAAATCCCAATTTTTATTCAATTGAAGAATACATCATTATTCCAGTTTCATTCTCGTAACTCAAATAAATGCACATATGCAAATTGTGACCTTTGCCTACCCTAGTAAAAATAAAAGCCTTCATGCTGGGTCAGAGAATTAATTGAAGAGGAAGTTAAGAGATCTGACAGCATTTAAACATGTAAAAACAAAGAAGCTGCAGGCTGATGTGGTTTGTTTTAACAGTGGAGGAATTATGGCTAGAGCAAAAGACATTGGAATCATCAATGAAACAGCTCTACTCATGATCTTCTAATTCAGTACAGGGAAGATCACTACTCAAACATCTCAAGATGATTGTCAGAGAACACTCCCTTAAGAAACTCCTGCAGCTTGCTCCATTCTCTGTTGAATGAAAAACCACAAGTAGCTCCCTTTACATCAGGTATGACTGCAACTAAGGCAGATACATTATTATTAGCATGCTAATGAGTCATTTTGGAACAATTGTCACCAGCGTGAAAGACCCAGTGATAGAACAAATCAGATTTAACATGCAAACTGAATTTGTCTTGAAATTTATTTTAAAAAAAAAAAAAATCAATAGAATTTTCCCAAAATATGGGAGGTTTCAGGCTGCAGGAGACTGGGAATCATGTGAAGGCAGCAAGGCACAATATGCCTCAAAAAAAGGTGTATACAGAATGCCAAGGAGGTATTCATCTAGTATTCAGTAAGCTAGCCCAAACAGCTGTACCAAACTAGGAGCAAATTTGAAAAAAGGCCATTTGATAGACATACCAACAACTTCCCCACTGTGCTTCAATTAATTTGGCTCCAAACCACTGTGTGGACCAAGCAAGACTATGATACTATGATCATGTGGCTAAAAACGGCTTGGGAGGAGGGAGAACATCTTATTAATCCACAGCAGAGACCAGTAAGGTAATATGGAACTGGCTACAACACAGAGGAGACATACCCAGCCAAAAGAAAACACCCTGCCTAACACAAAAGGCCAACTCATGGAGTGAGAAAGGATCAAGGATTATATTTCTTCTCTACAAGTGCTTGGACATAATTTCATCTGAAAAGCCAAAAATTTCCAACCATCAATTTATTTCAAAGAAGCAAGAGAATTCTTCAGACCTGCAACACTTGTCAACATCCATCATAAAGGACTGGTTAAAAGTAAGTGACGTTTTTTTCTTACTCTGCGAGTGGTCTCAGCATTTGTTCCATCTCTTGAAATCACCTTTTCTTGTTTTTTTTTAAATGGAGGGCTGTCCGATGCATTAATACCAGGAGTTGTGAAAATAAATGTTTAATCTTTCTTCATTTTAAACTTATAAGAAAGGCTGTGTGTGTCTGTTCTTGAACACCATGACACCATGCAGTCAGCCAAGAGGTAAGAAAGGCAAGTTATCCCACCATCACTCCCTATCTATAATGACAACTGAAAAGCAGCAAGGCCTCTGGAACGGGTGGAATCCCTGCTGAAATTCTGAAACACTGCGCACATACACATTATCCCTAATTACACTAATACAAATGAAGCTGAAGGCAGCCATATAAATTAACCACAAACCTTTTGAAGAAGAATAATTCTTATAGTTGCTACGTGTTGTTAACCATGCAGACTTACTCAGATAGCTGCCGCAACACATGTCATTACATTACTTTGTGATATTATTTATACAATTTAAAAAAGTGAGAATAATAGCAAGCACGACAATGTGCTTCTGGCACAGTTGAACAACTTTATGTCTGGCCCTTATTTGGGAAGAAGAGTACATGCCAGGTGACCCAAGGGATGCTCTGATTGTGACTATTTTCAAATCCAACTGTGGTAACTATAGAGGATCCTCGTGCTGTTTGTCACAGGGAAGATCATTTCAAGGAACCTTATCAGCTACCTCCTCCCAATAGTAGAGGATCACCTCCCAGAGTCACAGCGCACTTTTCATATATTGGAAGGTGACACGAGTATGATCATTACTGCATGGAAAATTCAAGAAAACATACAAGGAATAGCACCTACCACTATGCACATTTTGTTTTTATCACATAAAAGCCTCTGACTCTGCCAATCATATTGGCTAACAAAGGACTCCCCTTACATTTGGCTGCCTCAGAAATTTGTCACATTCTACCATTCACTCCACAATACAGAGAAGTTGTATCGTGACCTTTGCGTCCAACAAAAGGAAGGCGGTGGTATAGTAATAACATCACTGGGCTAGTGATCCAGCAGCCTAGGTTAATGTCTTGGGGAAATGGGTTCAAATCCCACCACTGCACATGGTGAAGCTTGAATTCAATAAAATATAATGTAATGCAGAGTTCCCTTTAACATCATTTGGGGACTTATCCAATAATAAAAGTTGCCCCACAGACTAATCAAGAAACACCTGATATTGTCAGTAAGAAATTACTCCGACAGTATGACTATGCCCGAACACCAAAGTTCCTGGGTATGTCCTGTCCCAAAGGAAGGGTAAACCCACTAGACAGGGCAGAACGTGGTATAGCACAAGACCATGTGACACAAGAGCAGAAGTAGACCATTCAAGCTATCAAGTCTGCTCTGCGATTCAATGTGATCATGACTGAACTAATAATTCTTAACTATTAATTCATTTACTGATTAAAAATCTGTCTACCTCAGCCTCAGAAATACTTAAAAAAAACAAAGTTCAGTTCTGAGGAAGGGTCTCCGGACCTGAAACGCTAACTCTATTTTTTCCTTCACAAATGCTGCCAGAGATGCTGAGCTTTTCCAGCAACTTTGCTTTTGTTCCTGATTTACAGCATCTGCAGTTCTTTCGGTTTTTACTCAGAAATACTTAACAACCTAGCCTTGACAGTCCACTGTGGAAAAGAATTCCACAGATTCACTATCCTCAAGAGATGAAATTCCTCCTTGTCTGTCTTAAATGAGCAACTTCTTATTCTGAGATCATGCCCTCTGGTCCTCTACCCTCCCACTAGGAGAAACAACGTTTTTGCATTTGCCCTGTCAAGCCCCTAAGAATCTTGCATGTTTAAATAAGGTCACCTCTCCTTCTTTAATCCAGCAAATATACATCCAATTTACTCAATCACCCCTCAAAGAATAGCCCCTCCGTATTTAGTCGCCGTACCTCCATATCAGCCTAGTGAATATTCTCTAGTGTTTTTTAGATAAGGAGCCCAAAATTTTGACCCTGCAGCATTTTAGCAAAGCCTTATTACTTATACATCCAATTCACTTTGAAATTCTATTTGCCTTCCTTATTACCCATCGAAGTTGGATGCTAGTTTTAGTGATTTACGCACAGATTCCCAAATCCTTCTATACTACAGTTCTTTTTCCTGCACTTAAACAATATTCAGCTCCTCTATTCTTCCTGCCAAAAAGCATAACCTCACATTTTCTATTTCTGCCAAGTTTTTGCCCAATCACTTAATCAGACTTAATCCCCTCCGCAGACTCTTTGTTCATCCTCACCACTTGTCTTCCCACCTATTTTTGTGTCATCCATAAATCCATGTAATACATTCACTTTTTTCATAAATATTGTAAAGAAATGTCGTCCCAGCACTCATCCCTATGGAATTCCACCAGTTCAGATTGCCATCCCAAAAATGCCTCCTAATCCCAACTCTGACTGCTATCAGCTAATGAATCTTCTATCCATGCTGATAAACTAACTTTAGCAACATTGGATCGTACCTTACTAAGTAGCCTCATGCATGGTATCTTATCAAATGCCTTCTGAAAATTCAAATATGTTAAATACACTGTTTCCCCTTTATCTATTCTGCATGTCACCTCCTCAAATAAATCTAGTCAATTTGTCCATCATGATTTCCCCTTCATGAAGCTGAACGGTTGGGACAGAGTTGTCCTGGGAATCCTCAGCATTGATTCAAAATCCACTGAACTCTCATTGCATCTGGTCAAAAATTGAAACATAATCCTTCTACTGATTGTCACCAACTGTTCCCCCAATCTCAGTCTATGATCAGTGCTCCTCTGTGTTGAGTACCACAGAGAGTGCGAGGG